AGCGAGGGGAAGAGACTGGAAGTGGAGTTTTCTCACTCCGCCTGAAAAAAGTCGGCCGTTTTTTGAACTTTGACCTCAAATATTTTGAGTAACTCTCACCATCGCACAAACTGCCTGAAGAAACGTTAGTTGTATTGGCTTGGACCACCTAATTTTAAAATTTAAGCCAAATCGGAGGGTTACACTTCACACCATCGCATTGTTAGTTTTGAGATCGGAACGGTGTGAATTTTCTGATTCTGTTTGATGTCAAGAATACAAATCAACTCTGTTCTTGTCGTTGTTGCTGCTGCTGGTCGGATGGAGAAGCGAAGTGGGAATGAGATTCATTAAAATTTTCATCACCTGCACTTTACCCGATTTGAGTTTCACGATATTCATTATGGAGTTTCGTTGTGGATGAGTTTGGATGAAATGAAATAAATTTTATGGGCTGATTTCTCTCTCTCTCTCGCTTTCAAATATATTTAATGTGACGGGTGCATTGTTCAATTGCGCCATAATTCTGGGTGAGGCAGGAGATAAAATCGTATTATAATTAGTGCGGCGGATTTTTACGACAAAATGAAAATGAAAACTATCTCCTGGCTTTGATTCGAAAAGGAAATGAGTAGTTTTACAGAGACGGAAATTATGGACTGGATTCGTTCTAGGTTTGAGATTGGGTGTGAGGTTAATATCCTCACAGTAGTTCTGATTGTGGTGGTGGAATTGGTATGAGTGCGGTCCAGAACTATGGGAAAGGCAGGCACCTCAGGGGGCATGGAAAGCGGGGGAACAATGGGGTAGGATTTGACAATGTCTGCACTACAACAATAGAGAATAAAGAAATAGGTGACACATGACCTTTTTGACGTAAATACGCAGTAGTGTCAGTCAAAAAGAGCAGGCTGAAAAATGATGAAACCTTAGTCGCCTACTTGCCGATTCATATCAAAAGTGAAATTATGAAAAAATTTGGAAAAAAACTGTTATTTAATAAGTTTCTGATCACGCGGAGATTTGCTTCTCGAGTTGCTTCTTGAGTGGAAAATAGAAATAAAATGCTTTATTGAAAGCGGAAAGTTCTTTGGCATCGTTCACCAACGCCAACACCACCCACACAACAAAGAAAAGTGCAATGGTGACAGGGTGACTGGATTTACATAATGTGAGATTCGACTAAAAAAAGTTCATACCTAACTGACGCTGATCGCTACAATGATGACACGCTTATCATTTTATGCAACTGCATTTATTTATGTATATACAGCAGTGCGAAGAAATGGCAAATTGCGAAAAGTAATTAGTGTAAAGCTATCAAATTTACTTAATTATTACCGATAACTGTTCCGAACTAGACATGAAATAAAAATTTGATTCCCATTTTCTAGGTTTGGAAAGCGCTTATCGCTACAATGATGACATACTTATCATTGTAGCGTTAAGTACCTTCATTTATTTATATCCAGAAAAAATGACACAACTATGAAAAGTAATTAGTGTAAAGTTATCAAATTTGCATAATCATTACCAACAATTATCCCAAGCTAAGCCAAAAATAAAAACTTGGATTTCCAATCTCGGAAATGGATAGGGAAAACGCTAATCACTACAATGATAACACACTTATCATTAAGGCGTCAAGTTACTGAATTTATTTATATCCAGAAAAAATGATACAATTACGAAGAGTAATTAGTGTAAAGTGATTAAATTTACTTAATAACAACCAACAATTATCCTGAACCAGGCAAAAAATAAAAAAAAAGATTTCCAGTTTCGGAAATGGACTCGGGAAAGATGACTTTCTCCAGGATCTCAACTTTCCCTTCCTTGAGACCACACCCACCCGGACTGGATCCATCCACCCAGCAGCAGCAGAGATGAAGAAGGACTCACCTAAATAGAGAGAGATGGGTGATGATGATAATAATAATGGCGGTGAGAGTGTGCGGATGGACGGAATAATGTGAACATGCATAAAGAGGAAGCGCGCGCGAGGTTATTAAGTAATTCATGCCTTTCCCGATTGTTATTGCATCGGAGAAAGGGGAGAAAGTGCATTATATCCAGGATGGCGTGGGAATGGATCGCTTCGCTACCACCACTGCCCATTAACACGGCTAAAGAAGTGCTTTAATCAACCTCGCAGGTTATTGCAAAAGCTTATGGTAATGAATGGAGAAGCTCCGCTCGACTATCCTTATTGGAGGACTGCCCATGTGTCGACTTTATCATCTCGAACGAATCAAAAGTAGTCAGTGTTTCGTTTCTGGGGGGTTTGCCACATTTCTTGCGGGGAAAAGGGAGAAATGCAAGAAATGCGAGGTGCAAGAAACTGGGAGAAAATGCAAGAAATATGCGCCATCTAGCCACGCGTCGTATGAACTATTTACGTCGGCGTAGGTTGTAGCGCCGTGCATTTCTTGTAGGTCAAAATACTGCAAAAACCGCTTTCTTACTTCTTTTTCTCGCAATTTTGGCTACTTTCACCTCAAAAACTTCCAAAACTACGAAACCCAATTCCGTACTAATTACGGGCACAATCCATCTCTCAATTTCATTAAGAACAATACAAACATATATGCAAATAAATGCATACCTAGCTTGGATCGAAACAAGGCAAAAAAAGACGCCACAACTTTGCGGCGACAGTGTTCCTCTCTCCCATGAAAACCCAGCCAAATGGTTAAATTGATTCGTTTCCCTTCTACCCGAGGTGAGCATCATTTCGATTGTTTGTTCTAAATCGAAACCAATTTGGAAGAAATTGGGAAACAAAAAAATTTTAACTTTGGATCAAAGGGATGAATTTTGTGAACTGGAATTCCATTTACGATACTCGAATTAGGCGGATGGATGGCTGGATGGGAGAAAGTATGTACGGATCTCTCGCGATGAGGAGAATATGGCAGGCGGGCACAGCCTTCAATAAAATAGTCAGTCTTTCCAATTAAGCTAACAATGCGGGACGGAATCTCCCTCCTGCACCGGATTTTCTCTCTCCTACCATCTCTTTTATTTAGCTGGGGAGCCGAGGCCTGTAATCTGCATATGCATGCACCCTCCACCAGTGGCCGCGGAAGGAAGCTGTGGGGACAAAGGGACAATGTTCCCCCGGTTGTTCGATGTCCGCATCATCTCCCCATCTTATATAAACCCGTCCCTCCCCTATCTCCACTGTTAATGGCTCCAGACGTCTCCACAGTTTCCGCGGACACTGTACCCTCCACCAGCGGAAGCTGCCCGGTCGGGTTTACATGCTTATTAAGTAGCATCATCAACATCGAGGGAGAAAGCTGCAGCATTTAAAATGCAGACCGACCGGATAATTAAGCAGGAGATGAAGTAAGTAGTGGAAAAATGTGTGTGTAATAATAATAATCATAAAAATTGGAGTGAAATTGGTCCACCACGAAGGAACAGGGGCCTCGGAAACTTGAGGGGACAAAGGGACAATGTCCCCATGGTTATTCGATGTCCCCATCATATATAAACCCGTCCCTCCCCTATCCTGCAATTTTAACGCCCCCTAATGTTCCCACAGCTTTCGCGGCCTCTGATCACGAACGAACGAGAGCTGAGAGGAAGACATTGATCCCTTCCGACGTGATCTAACTAACCCACTCAGTTTCATTGTTGAGGAAAAATTATGATGGCACTTTCACTCCTCGTGACAATGATGGATTTTGGCGGGTAATATTTTTATCTGGAGGTAATTTCTACCCTACCAAAGTCAAGGTTCAGTTCAACGTCGGGTTGGTTATTGTAGTAAATAATCCATGCATACTTCTTAACGTGCCAGAATCTCAAGGATCTAAATATGTTCCTGGTAATAATTTTTAAATTTTCATCATTTTTAAAAAATATTTTTGTCATTAATTTTGACAAAGGGTCGCCCAAATTATGTGCGACTGTCGGACGGACGGGACTTGCCTTATTTCAAAAGTCTCTCCATGATTTATTCATGTCGGGCTTTTAATTCATCATCTAATCTCCGTAGAGAAGAAGAAAGTGAGGCAAGAGAGAAAGTCAGTCGTCGTCACGCTTCACTTTCTCCTATGTCTGCGAGACCATGGGCGTGTATGCACTACTTTCTCTACCCGTTCTTGTCTGATTTATTTGCAACATAGGGCAGAAGAGATAGGTTTAAAAATACATATTTTTTCTCTCCCCGATTGAAAATCGTCTGCTGCATCACCACTAAATTTCGTATAATGTGTGTCTTTATCTCTAATCCGGACAAGTTATGCTACCCTCGAATCCAATAATGTTGATGGTTCCGCTCTGCTTGGGAAACAGCAAGCCAGCTCAACTCGCTCGACTCGTGGATGTACGTACCACTTACTTAAAGATGGGGAAAAAGGGGAATAATTCATTTAAGGAGATGACGAATGATTTTTCCTCGGATTATTTGCTTTAACCAGAGAGAAATCGGATTGATTCGAGAGGATGGATAATATTATCATCCATTACATCCGCGGATATCCAGGGGTGTACCGTTACCCTGTAACCGTATATTTACCCTGGGTACCCTGTTTTTAAAAGTGAATGAAACATACATCAAATTGAAGGTATTAGTGAGTAGATCATTTCTAGATAAAAAATTGTTTTCACTCTCAAAATTTTTCAGGAAAAATCAAAAAGTGGGGAACAAAATGTAATTTTTGTGCATATTTTGATTTTTCCTGAAAAATTTTGAGAGTGAAAGTTCGTAATTTATATGTAGAAGTTATCTCCTCATTAATACCTTCAATTTGATGTACTGGTCGACCCTACCTCATCCACCGGGTTTTAGGGTCCCATCCGGTACCTAGGTGCTTCCCGGGTACCAGTACACCCCTGCCAATACCATCGGATTTCATGGACGCACTCGCTCAGTTTTTTGATGATATGAAGAATATGAGTACACACATATGAGCTTGTTTGTACAAAAAAAAATGCATTCATCTCTTTCCCTCTCGTCAGAGAAGAGGGAAAGGGAAAGAAACGGGCTTAAAAAAAAGTGGTGCTGCAAATGGTTGTAAAAAGAGTATATCGATCCATTGGTTTGGTTTATTTTCTTTTCTGCTATCATTTGTTTGGTCTTCCATCACTGGAATGGAATGGAACTCTAGGACATGCTTTTTGCCGTGTATTTTTTTAATAATATATCCGTAAACACATGGAAATAACATGTACGTAGGAATTGAGCCCACTAAGCAATAAACTTTTCTCTGCTGAACACTACGTACGAGTCTGTCCACTTTTCTGGGCGGGCATACTTTCACTCGATGATGATTAGGATGACGACGACGACGACTTTCTCCGCGTCTGGATATTATTCTCGTCATCTCGCATTCTTCTCTGACGAACGGCAACAAGAACAAGAACAAAACTACAACTAGTACACAACTGTCTGTTGTCTTTGGTCCTCGATTTCTTCTTCTGACTTTCACCCACCCACCCACCAACTTTCCCCCCAAAAAACTTGCTCGTAAGAAGACGCACAAAACAAAACACACTTCTTGTTCTTCATCCAACTAAAGATCACTTTGCTCATTGCCTGCCACAGATCAACTATGGTTTCATTGTTTGTTGTTTTGCTTGTCAGTCAGTCATGATGATGCTGCTGTTGCTGTTCGTCCATAGAAGTCAGAGTCCCGTCGCCGTCAAACCTTTCTCTGGAGGAGGAGTGGTTGAGTTCATCTGGATAAAAGAAGAAGCAACACAAATCTGTTTACTACGAGTTTACTTAACAATGGATGGAAAGCTGGGGAAATGGATGGAATTAGGCTTCACACACAATTACAAAACTACATTAGGACTCGGTAGTGGTGGTGGTAGGCACTTGTGTGTCGGGCCTGTCACTAGTGTAGAGTTCACTTTCTGGATTGGGTACTATATATACCTCATTTTAGTTTAGGTAGGACTGACTTTGTTTGGTAAATTGCGATCCTGGTTAAATATTTGGGAGGAGGGAAGAAGAAGTGGGGTATACAGTGGCCGCGGAAGTGGTGGGGACATGTGAGGATACGTTACTACAGGTTTTACTTTGGAGATGGGCTACTATACCTCATTTAAGCAATTACGGACTTTGTTTGCTAAATTGCGATCCTGGTTAAATATTTGGGAGGAGGGAAGAAGAAGTGGGGTATACAGTGGCCGCGGAAGTGGTGGGGACATGTGAGGATACGTTACTACAGGTTTTACTTTGGAGATGGGCTACTATACCTCATTTAAGCAATTACGGACTTTGTTTGCTAAATTGCGATCCTGCTTAAATATTTGGGAGGGAAGAAGAAGTGGGGTAACAGTGGCTGCGGAAGCCGTGGGGACATTAACATTGTACGATAGGGGAGGGACGGGTTTATATAAAATGGGAAGATGATGGGAATTTTGTATAACCGTGGGGACATAGTCCCTCTGTGCACACGCTTCCGCGGGCACTGAATACATAGATAAACTAATAACCAGTGGCTGCGGAAGCCGTGGGGACATCTGGAGAGATTAACATTATAGGATAGTGGAGTCCCGGATTTATGCAAGATAGGCAGTTGATGCGGACATCGAACAACCATTATGGACTTGTCCCTCTATCCACACCCTTCCTTCCGCGGCCACTGCACGCGGTGTATAGTATTCTACGTGGTCGTATTAGTGGTGATAGTTAACTCGATTACCTTCGTTCATTGTCAAAGAATGAAGTTATAGTGATTCTGGGAAGTGATAAAGACTTAAATCTAAAATCGATACCGATAGCGATAAACTTTCTCTTGCTGATTCATTCCATGCATGCTTGCGGAGCGAGAGAAAGCTCAGGGTTTTCATAAATTTCATACTTTGGCTAAATTTTGATCCTTAAATCCAACCAACTTGTTAAAACCGTTGGTAAAATGGATCCGCGTGAAAATATTTGGGCTCAATTTTGCGGAAATGAGGAGGACGACGAGGAGAGCCCTCGGGTGGAAAGGATGATATCATCATCGTCATCATCATCATCACACGTCCTCCTCTTCCTTCATCCACTCGTCTCCCTGCCTGCCTGCCTGCCATATGCCAGCGAGAGCTTGAGTAATCTGGGAGGATGCACCTTATCTGTCCGATCGGGTGCAGAAGAAATTGAAAGAAGATCGATTTCAGTGTATCGCGGAGGGATTTTTTGGCTGGTGGGTGAGACTATACCCGAGAGATTGATGCCCGGTCCAGAAAAGTTTCTAATTGCTTAGACCCAGGACATTATCGGTCTTATTTTTGGTGCTGCGGGCGGATTTGCAGGCAGGATTACCAACCTACTTTCACTCACTTTGGAGAAAGTAGGATCGTGCCGAAAGGACTCGTAATTCTGATGATTTTATATCAGATTGTTGGCTCAACATCTTTATCCACCAAAGGAGAGGAGTAATTATTATATATGTGGCCACGTATTTATTTTGGGGCAGTGTTCTGCTTTCTCCGCGACTATGTTTTATGGTGATGAGTCGTCCTTGTTCCCCGATTTTGAAGCACCACCACCACCACGACTACGTCTCAATTCTGCCAAGTTGTTGTGCAGGACTTTGACCGTTGAGTAGGTTTTTTTGTGTGCTTTCTCTCTTACTCGATGGAAGAAAAAGAGACGGCGGCCCAAAAATGGGCGAGTACGACAGGGGAGTCAACTCCTGGATGGAACACGAGGAGGACAGAAGGGAATTTGATACTCTGCATAATGGGGAAAGAGCCAACTTTTGCTCGTTGTTGTGGTTAAAGTTGGAAGCATAATGGGGAAGAGAAAGTCAAGTCTTGTTCTTACCAATTGAGCTGGTGAAGTATGTAGCGGGATGGTAGTGGTGTAGTGGCAGATCATTATTATTGTGGTCCCCGACGAATTGTGGCTCGGGAGCCGGTAATTTCTGAATATTTTTTGTCTATAGGCACCCTTTAAGAAGAAAAATAAGGTCATATTAAATCACCAATCAGTGAAAAAATGTATCCAAATCAGTGGCCGCGGAAGCTTGAGGGGACAGATGGACAACGTTCCCAGGGTTATTCGATGTCCCCATCATCTCCCCATCTCATATAAACCCGGCCCTCCCCCCTACCCCACAATATTAATGCCCCCACACCTTCCGCGGCCACTGCTATCCAAACCCCTACCTGTCGTCATATAGGGAAGGAGCTTGTAGGATGATTCCAGCCGTCCCGACGAGCACGGCGAGGGTGAAAATCCACAAGAAAAGTCGGTCGAGCACCATCGCCACGTATTTCCAATCTTCTTTCACCTAAATAAATGTTGGATGAGGCATAATTACCCGGGTATGGTTTTGTAGTCCTTGTTTTATCTCGAGGGGAGGACAAAAGGGGACATAAATAATTTTCGGAAATTTAGGATAAATTATGTACCACCCACCTTGGTTGAGTCTTCTTGGAGCCGGGTGTGTCTCGCGATGAACCGAACTCCGGCGCAGGCACGTTGAACATGGACATCAGGAATACAGTTGCGATTGGAACAAGGGATGGATGGCTTGGACATGAGTGGCGACGGGAGTGGGAGGCCGTCATCAGGCAGCCAGCTAAAGCGGAAATTAGCACAGATTAGAAAGTGAGTCACTTCTACGCCAAAAATTCTATGGCTGGGTTCAGATTATGAGTGAGGCAAGAGATAAGCATGAAGCGACTATTTGTCATGAGTACAAATAGCATATTTGAGACGGTTCGAGGTCATTAGAAGAACGCTTAATCTGTGACCCTGAGGGAGAAATATGTATTTGCTACGTGATCACAGTTTCGGTATTAATTGGGGAAGAGAAAGTTGAGATTTTTTGTAGAAGGGATTTGTATACTTGGGTAAATCTGGTATTAAATCATTACTGACTGGAGTAGATATGTATATGAATCTACAGGAAGTGGTAATAACGGGAATTGCCGTTTGGTAATTAATTAATTGCATTATAATTAATTAATTAGGAATTGTGGTAATTAACAATTTAGAAACGAACTATTACCAATGTAGGAACTTATTAACAAACTGAGGGTAGTACACAAATGACTGTATAGGCATGGTATTACCGTTTAGTAATGTTCTGGTAATACAAATGTTACCACTCAGAAACAATCTACTACCAATCCGGTAAGAACTTATCACCAAATCAATACCAGACCACATTTTAGAATATTTCTCACCTCTCCGTGGACCCGTCATGGCTATATCCACCACCACTGCGCGGGTGGCTTCCTCCACCATGCCCGCCATGGACGCGACACCCCCCACTCGCATCCGTCATTCGGTAGGGAGGCATAAATCTGCAAAACAAAACCCAGTCAGTCAGCCTCACCCATGAATTTCTTGGTGGGGAGAAAGTGCAGAAATTGTTGCCACCCGGTAATAAATACATATGTGCTACTTGGGTGGGTGTGGTTTTTTAGGGTGGAGGTGGTTACACTAACCCTCGTAAACAGGCCTCCAGCGGTGACTGGGGTCGAGGGGGGATTTCAGTACTGGGACTGGTTTCCTCATGCCAGTAGCTCTCGGTTTGGTGGTGGAATGTCGCGTTGTTTCCAGCACGCATCATTAACATGCTTTCTTTCCATTTATGCCTGGAATAGAAGGGGAATCATCGCGGTGTTATAGCTTTCACTTTTCTTTGCTTTCTCTTCGTCATATTTGTATCACTTGGCTAAATATGTGTGTAATCTGGCAGTGTGGTGTATACTGGTAGTTAGGATGGTGGTGGTGTTGAAGTCATTTTGTGGGCAGGGGATGCACAACTGTGTGGGGACGATGGTATGGAGAGATGGGGAAAGGGGAGGAGTTTAGTAATGTTGGAAAGTTAGGGAAATCTAATTATTTTGTACCCAGTGTTTCGTTTTCGGACGTTCAAAACTATTTTGGCGTCCAAAACTGTACAGAATAATTTTGGACTTTCAAAATGTCCTACATGGGAAAATGGGGGAAACTGTTACAAGTTCTTTATTAACAGCTTTTTTTGCTCGTGTATGTACAGATATGGAAACTCCCAATAATTTTGAGCATTTTGATGTGTCTGTAATACCAAACCACGAAATTTGGGGAAAAAATTATTGTAAAATGTTTTACGAGAAATTAAAAAGTTTTCTAAACCATGTCGTATTACACGACAAAATTCTCAAAATTAACATATTCGTCAACGGATTATCGAAAGATTAAGAACTCGTAACATTTTCTATTTTGGACAATTTTGGACATGATCCAAAATTCTGTCTAAACCTGGTAACTGGTCAATACCCGTTTTGTTCCTCTTTCCTGGACAAAACCACACAGAAACCCTTGCTTGCCCCGATGTCTCTTTCCACCTTTCCGCCGCCCCTGCCTCCAGTCTGCAATGTGTTCCCCATACATATACATCCATTTATCTGACAGCCTACCCATAACCATCCCGAGCAAACGGAGACCCCCCTTTACGCCACAACTTCAATCATCTCTTCTTCCCCCGAAATTAATGACTTTGTCGAATCTTTGTTGTTTGTTAGAGTTGGTTGTTTGAAGGCGGTGTTGAATTGGATGGATGCATACACCGACACAACAAAAGCTGCTGCTGCTGCTGGTGCCGCTTATTGTTATGAAATGTGTGCCGAGAGGTGAACCGAACTTATGTAACTACCCAGTTTCCAAGTTTCTATTTTACATTTCGCACGATTTCAACCTGCCACGTACGTACTTTGTTCTCCTTTCGAGCAAATAGTTATTGTGCCGACTGTGAAATGGAGACGAGTGAGAGAGTGAAAGTTTGGAGAAAGTTTGCTCTTTAAGTTTTCCTATTTGCTGGGCAAGCCTCAATAAACTGTGACATTGACCGTAACTCCGTCCTCCTCCTCGTACTTTTTAACAAAAGGGACCCCGAAATGAAGGAGCAGTTGGCCGGCAGTATTATTGTCTTGGTCTTCCTCCTCTATCAGTGGCCGCGGAAGGAAGGGTGAGGGGACAGAGGGACAATGTCCCCACGGTTGTTGGATGTCGGCATCATCTCCCCATCTTCGGCCCTCCCCTACCCAAGAATTTTAATGTCCCCCGATGTACCCACGGCTTCCGCGGCCACTGGAGAAAGCGAGAGAGAGAGAGGGAGAAAAAAGAAAGAAGAAAAAGTTGGTTTAATGGATACTCCGCTATAATGGTGATTAATAGCTTCGATCTCTTGGAGGAAATCGTACCAAAAGACTGGACTTTCTCTCTCCCTCCTGGACAACAATGTACGTGGACGACGACGTCTGTATTTAGAAGGGGGATGAGGAGGGGTGGTGGTGGTGGTGGTGAAGGTGGTGCCCGGTGGTACGGCATCATGAGGTTGTTTTTTTCTTTTCAAGGAAGAGATAAACAGCTCAACTGGAGCAAATATAGCCAAAGTACCCCGTCTAATGTCCGTAGTGTCCCAGTGGGTCAAACTTCAGTTGTAAAATTTATCGTAATGGCGCTACGCCAGGTTACGCTAGAGCGACGACGAGCAGGCTACTCCGCGGATAAATATGTACCAATACACACAGGCACCAGACCAGACCTCACCGCCAACCAGTGAAGTTTACCAGTCGGCAAACGCGCTACACATCAAGCAGCAAAAGGTAGGTAGGTACGGACAGGTCGTGTGTGTATCTGTGTAGCCTGTGTTTAATCGCATATACACTAAAATCTCGAGAGAAACCTGCAGGTTCTTCTGCAGGACGTTGAAAAGATCGAGTTTCATCTCTCATTATGCGAGATTTACGAGTTCAAAAGTATTCGCACAGGCGGCTCGGCCTCCTTTCATCGCTTTCTCCCCCCAATCAAAGGATCGCCCGGGTGTAGGGCTGTCCTCGACTAACATCCGCTGAGAGAGAGAAAGTGGATGATGATGCCGCGTTGGCGGTGGCCATTGGCCGCGGAAGCTGTTCTGGGGACATTAAAATTGCAGGATAAGGGAGAAGGGCAAGGTTTATATAAGATGGAGAGATGATGCCAACCATGAGGACATTGTCCCTCTGTCCCTCCGCGGCCCCTGGAGTTCTACATACTACCGCCCGAAGCACTTATGTGTATGAACAGGAAGAAGTACAGCAGCAGCATCAAAAACCCTTCGTCTTCTTTCACTCCGAATGATGCATCAAGTCTGCCTGTCGGATGCTACAGACGCGTGTAGGATGCAAAGAATCTGTGTGTGTGTGAAGGTGAAAGTCTGCCCTTTTGACCTGTACGCAAGAAAGACGTGCATTCAGGGAGAGAAAGTCTATACACAGCACGTCCCGTGGATCACATAGTGCAGAATTTCTACTGTGTACCAAGAACGACCAGCACCAGCAGAGCAGCTCCCATTCGCAATTACTGAGCATCCACCCATGCGAAATTGAGACATAAGCCAGCTGCCCTGGGAGGAGGAGGAGGAGGAAGAACGAGTGCCTCCATGTGTCAAGGAAGTAGAGAGCATCAAGTCATTACCCGATATAATTAAAGCCAAGAACACGACTGTGAGGTAGAAACTAATGAGCTGAACTAATGAAAACGGAGCTTCTAGAGGGGGATATCCAGAAGTACGGAGAGTAGCTCTGATTTTGTGGCCGGTGAGGACACAACCAATTGTGCCGGGGTGGAAGAAGAAATTATTTGAAGTAGAACGGTAAAGGTACCCTCTTCGCTGATAAAATAAAGCAATGGGATGTGTATGTCCTACTATTGATAAGGGCCGTGGAAGCGGTGGGGACAGTAACATTGTACGTAGAGGAGAGGAGGGATTTGTGTCAGATGGGGAGATGATGGGGACATCGACTAACCAGGGGGGCATTGTCCCCACGCTTCCACGGCCGCGCTCTGTGCGATGTATTTTGTTCCTTACAATGAAGGTCTCCCAGCGGATGCTCTCCGATTTTGAAAAAAACTAGTGTCAATCGATCAAAATTTAATTAGTATGAAATTTGCGAAAGACACGATCTCCCATTGGCCCGAGATATTTGCATCCGAAGAGGAGAAAACGCCGAGTAAATTTGGAAAATGTATAATTTGTCAACATTAAGGCGCGTTTTCTCCACTTTGGATGCAAATATCTCTGCCAAACGTTCCCATTGGTCGACCATGTCTTTCCCAAATTTCATCCAAATTAAATATTCTCTTGATTGACACTAATTTGCCCAAAATCGGATCATATCTGCTGAGAAACCTCCACTGTAAGTTGCCTCTGTTATGTTATGTATGTATGTATCTATGTACCACTGGATGGTCCGTGGTGGATGTGTACATGGAATAAGGAAGTTCACAAGACGAGCCCGACTTACCGGTGAGTCTCCATCGTGTAATGGGGCCTTTTCATCATGAGCAACCTTGGCAGAATGTGAAGGAAGACGCGACGCACCCACCTGAATTAATGATACAAATCCATGACAAGAAGAAAGCCTCGAGTGAGGACATGAGTATTTTATGCGTTATCGTGCCACGACACTTACGGAGACATTGTGTGGGTCTGCGGGGAGCGGAAGTGAACGTTGAGCACAACCACGGTAACACATATACTGCATTCAAATTTCTCATTATTGCTCATCGATTTTATAATCTAGCCAAACTTTCTCCCTGCCCGAGAAGAGATCCGCATCCGCTGTATTGTGCACATCCTCCAACGTATTACGTAACGATCAGTGGCCGCGGAAGCTTGAGGGGACATTAACATTGTAGGATAGGGGGGAAAGGGCCGGGTTTATATAAGATTGGCAGATGATGCGGACATCCAACAATTTGTCCCCATGTCCCCTCAACCTTCCGCGGCCACTGGTTTTTTCGTGGGTGAGAGTGAAAATTCTCAAATTACGCCCCTCCATCACACGGGACGGGAAGCGACATATTAACGACGCAGAGGGCAAATTTGTACGTCTAATCAAGTCCAAGTGGAAGAGGAGAAAGCCATTCATGTGATGGCACCTTTCATGGACAAAATTACGAAAAAAGGCAGTTTTTTAAGACCCAAATTAAGTCCTTATCAAACTTCAATACTTAATGGGAACGCGTTGTAAATTAGTTTCTTCAATACTTGAGCACATACAACGGATGCGAGACACAGATTCCGCAATTAAGGGTAACTTTTAGGGGGAACGTCAATATATTATGGGATAAAAAAATGTCCATTTTTACATCACCCCTTCCTTATCTTACACATGTTAAGCTTATCACGATTAAGATAACCCAGCCAAAACCACCTTTTTGACCACGTAATATATGGACGTTCCCCATTATAGATTCACCGTGGAAGGGAGAAAGTCTTCAAATTTATTCAGAATGCGGAAAGAAAAAGGAGAAAAAAGAAGTCGTCTATACCTGATTGAGACCAGGATCATGGCAAAAATCAGGTATTTTCCTAAAAGTGGGACGACGAGGCTGGTGGGAGGAATAATCTCAACAACGAGGAGGAAGAACACATGGAGACTAATCAAGATTGAAATTGCCAGAGTCACCTGCACACAAAAAAATCGATTAGGATTTCATTACTCGTACTAAAAAATCCCCCGTCTCACTCACTCACTCACTCACATCCCACACGCGACATTATTACTTTGGTGCCCGCGTAATTTATGGCTGGCCAAACTTTTCTTCCAGGTGAAAGTATGTTACTTACGTGGAGAAAGAGAACGAATTTTGCGGTAATTTGAATCTCCTTCTTATCTATCTCATTCGTGGAAAAATATTCAATTGGGAAGTCGAAAATTTGAATAACTGAGGAGAAAGTTTGCTCCGCGTGAGAAAAGGAAACATGCAACTTTCTCCGAGATTATTTTCGATGGGAGGAGGTGGATTTTTTTTCTCGATCTGCTAACTAATAGTCTGACACGCATGCATACTTAGGGAACGTTCCTACCGTAAAAATTCGATTTATGTATGGGGGGACGCTCTAATGATTTGTGAAGCTAAGAATAATGGGGACGCAAACCATGTTCAACCCAGATTTTTTTGCGACCATGTTAGTTTGAATGAGCAACTCTTTAGTAACAACATTTACCTCGAGACTTGCACAGATGGGAATATTTTAGCAAGTTCTTGGCGCCGCAAGTTCGCGAAAACGCTAGTTTTACAGCGGAATATGTACCTTGCGGTAGCAGTTACGCGTTTTTGTGAACTTGCGGCGTCCAAAACTTGCTGAATTTTTCGCAAATTTGCAAATTCCGGACTAAATCCTGTATCTAAATGGTTGCTCTTTCAAACTAACATGATCACAAAATAATCTGGGTTGAACCTGGTTTGCGTCCCCATTTCAAGAATTAAACCATCGGTCGAGGAGGGTCGTAAATGGAAGTTTTACACTATTTCCTCTCTCAATGAAGAAGGCCACACACTTATCGAGTCGTGGAGAACGTGCCTACCGTAAAACCTCATTTTATGGCGGGACGCTCTAATTATTTGTAAGAATTAAACCGAGGGGAGGTCGTAAATGAGGTTTTACACTATTTCCTATCTCAATGAAGAAGAGCAATGATTTTTTATCTCCGTGTGCATGTGAGAGGGAGGAGGAGGAAATTGTGTCTTTTATTGGTAATACCTTCTCTCCAGAATCCGATGGCAGGTAGAAGGTTAAGACGGTGAGGAAGGAAATCCCCATGCAGGGAATGATAAGGTTTACTGTATAAAAGAGAGTTTTCCGCCGCATCGTGATGTTGAAAGTGATGTCCAAATAGGGCTCTGAAAAGGAAACATAATTCAAAATCGGTTCGAAAAATGGCGACGTATTCGAAATAACTCACCGTCACAACAAGTATAGAATTTTTCATTCCTGTAAAAAGAAAGCAATATTTTCTTAAAAAATCAAAATTTATGGGTAAATTCAGACCAGATTTTTATTTTTGGATTGAAATTCAACATTTTAACGAGTTCAATTCATAAGCATAGAATTATTAATTTCTAGAAAAAAACATGACCTATTATCTTTAAAAGCCAAGATTTCTGATTAAATTCGGACTAGATTTTTATTTTTGGCTTGAAATTCAAAACTATAGAATTTTTAGTCCCTACAAAAACAATTATTCTATTTTTTCAAGAGTCAAAATTTCTCTGTAAAAATTAGGACCAGATTTTTAAATTTTTGTCTTGGCTGTCATATGCACAACATTTTGAACAAATTCACTATTCACTCTGCTATCCACGAATGAAAAGAATTATACGAGTTCGTCTTCTCGTGAATCCATAAAAAAAGAGGTTTTTTATCACTCGTAGTAAAACATGCAGTAAAAATTGTGAGTCGATTTTTTGAGATTTTTTATATATTTTTTACTCATCCCTCGTAAAAAAAAGGTAACCAGATAGTGCTAAGGTTATGGATGTATGAATTTAGAGGAGGAATTGAAACGGAAAAACTACCCGATATTTATTGGACATTACGCATCAACAAGTTCACGTACGTACGTACACGGGCACTCTTAAAAACCCGGTGGCAATCGTCACCGAACGGTGATAAAGTTTTTCACCGTGTGGTAATACATCCTTTACGCATGGTGACAAATTGTCACTGGCTGAGAAACATTATCACCGCACGGTAAAATCACATACTCTGTTCTTACTTAGGCATGTCACCTCATTTGCATAAATCTCATTATGCCCAGTTTCAGCGATACATGTTGAATGAATGCGTCAAAATATGCAAATGAGATGACACCCACAAATAATTCCATTCGGTGACGATTAACACCGAATTTTTAAGAGTGTACTCCTCTCTTTCTGGAAATAAATAATTGTATTTGGAAATTTATTAATCTAGGAAATGAGACGAAATTAGGATTTTGCCCAGTTTGGCCGACGGTTCAGTGCGCGTGGGTTTGCTCCCGATTTAACAAGCTGTCTACCTCAGAAGGAGTCGAATTGATTTATCACTCATGCGTAAAGTAGTGTTTCCATCGCTGTGCAATAATCCGAGACACGGACGGTTTTCAATATCTGGTGGACAATCTATCTTCACGCATTACCTCACAATGGAGAGAAAATGAGATCTGACATGAGATAACTTTGCCCCCGCGACAGTGGAGGTCGCCCAGCGGATGCTCTCCGATTTTGGCAAAATTAGTGTGAATCGATTACAAATTTAATTAGGATTAAATTTAGGGAAGACACGATCTCCCAATGGGCACGTTTGGCCGAGATATTTGCATCCGAAGAGGAGAAAGCGAGCAGGTAGCGAAAAATTGGAAAGTGTAAAATTGGTGGACTTGCCTCGCGCTTTCTCCTCTTCGGATGCAAATATCTCGGCCAAGCGTGCCCATTGGGAGATCGTTTCTTTCGCAAATTTCATATTATGTTTTATATTTTATTATCAGACCTTATTCTGCACAAGAAATATATACGAAAAGGGTCTAATTTTAATGCACAGACCATAATTAAGCTTATAATCGATTCACACTGCTTTCCCCAATATCTGATCGCAACCACTAGTCAACCTCCCTTGTATTTACGACTATCCCACTTTTTTTCATTGTGGGGGCGATAATAGTATTGTTGCCGCCGCTGTTGCGACAAGAGGCTCAAGTTCTCAACCACCAACACTTTTTCCCATATCTCTTTTAGATCAAACGGGTAGTAACACAAAAAGCGGGGTGTAAAAAAAAATAGGAAATCATACCGAACGGCCGGCACGTCAAGGATGTCCCATTCAACGGAAAAGTAGAACGCTGTCAAGTCAACTCCAAGCTGAACAACGTTGGAGCCCTCAACTTCATCAAAGTGTCGGAGATCCACTTTGTAGCCGTCGTAGGTCCAGCTCCCAAATTTGAGGATGCATGTCTGCTCATCAAAGGGAAAGTACTCGACGTCTATTTCGCACGAGGATTTATAAATTGCGGGTGGCTTCCATTCCACGAGACCGTTATTGTAAAGGGTAGCTTTCGTGGCCAGAGTCACCTCAAAGTTCCCATCAGCACTGTCATTTACAGAGAAAATCATGCCAATGTTCAAGTACAATTCACACCGTTCGCCCGTCAAATGCATGCAGTCCGAGAGGGCATGGACGTGCCGCTGGAGCTGCTACATGACTAACCGGGTAACTAAACCACCCACACGAAGGGACAAAATGGGGACGTTCGACAGGACCAAGGTTTTTGCAAGAGGCTTTGGGGATTATAATTTGATGTTAATAAATACAGGGTGGATTAAATATTTCAGTACAATGGATAATTTTTTAATGGGGAAAATGAGTAGGTTTACATTGGTTTTTGCGAAGAAATTTGCAAATTTAAGTATTTTAGCATTATTTTCTATCAGGTTTGATATTAGAGTTGAACAATTAATAAAAATTTCAAAATTTCCAAACCTTTTAAGTTATGAAGGTTTATGTACAGGTTTATGTACAAGTTGTGTCATTTATTTCAATTTAAAAAATTAAAAATCTGGACTTGGAAAAATCGAGAAGTTGACTTTTTATTTTTAATTTGTAACTCTTTAAACGTTAACAAAATTTAAATTTCTCAAGTCTGGATTTTTAAATTTTATAAAGATTCGAACAAACTAACACTACCTGTATTACCATCGAATTAATCCCCAAGTGCAAAAACCTTGCAAAAGGTGCTTAAAATGTACACCACCACTCACTTGTTGTACAGGACAATATCCGGTCGCCAAATATGGTCGGAAGGGACATGGAGCATTTTGACACCTCCGTACTCATTCGGTTCCCAAGTTAGCTTGTAGTCGTACCAAAACTGGAAAAAGAAGACAAAAAAAAGAATCTAGTCAAAGCACAGTTAATCATTTTTTTCCCTTTGAAACACGACTTTATTCATTTCTTCGAAGGAAGAAGAAGAGAAAGCATGGATTTTCTGTCTCTCATTGTGTGACATTTGTAGCTTTGCCATTGTATCGTCCCTCGTATTTAGAATCCTTACATGATCCTCGCTTTTGTTCAATACGTAGAATATCCACCCATCCAGTGGCCGCGGAAGCCGTGGGGACATTAACAGGGGAGGGCCGGGTTTATATAAGATGTGCAGATGATGCCGACATCGAGCAACCCTGGGAACATTGCCCTTCTGTCCTTCCGCGGCCATTGTACCCACCACCCACCAAAAGAACATCTCCTCTCTTATAATGGATGGCTACATATTCTATAGCCGTGCAGCGTCCGGTGGGGAAAACAAGAAGGAAAGTTGAACTTGCTGAAAACAAATCGGGATCAGCCATCCGTTTCCTACAGTCGGTCGGTCCGCTAATCTCCCCAAACTCCTCGCCAACAGAAGAACAGCAGAAGAAGGAAAACAGCAGAGAAGAAGTAGGAAACAACTTTTAACTGTTTTTGTTAAGCGGCTATGTATCTACGTACGTTGGCCGTGCGGATGGACAGGATGGGTGGTGGTCCCAGTGGCCGCGGAGGGGTGAGGGGACAGAGGGACAATGTCCCCACTGTTGTTAGATGTCCGCATCATCTCCCTATTTTATACAAACTCGGCCCTCCCCCCTAACCTACAATGTTAACGTCCCCACATGTCCCCACCCTTCCGCGGCCACTGCGCTACTGCTGAATGCAGAAAGTCGAGAAAAAAAGGCAGCCAGAAAAAAAAACCTCTCGAGAAAGTGAGCAATGCATGTTTTGCAATGCAATGAAACTTCCCTAGCTAGGTTTCGCCCAGGAGGAGATTGACTCACCATGAATGATTCTACCACTGGAGAAAGGTTGGTGATCAATCCTGGTAGTTGTGACTGCTAAAGTGCCTCGCGTATTCATTTCAATAAAATGTTCTATTCAACTCTGCCCCCTGGAATATGTTTCTCCAAAAGAAAGAGAGGATTCCAACGGGTGAAATGGGAACGAGAGAGAAAGTGAAAGCTGCCTGGCTGTAATGCATTCAGTCGGAGAAAGCGAGAAGAGAACAACATGAATTTAAACAGGATACATTGCGATGAGATGTATATTATGGAAAAAGGGATGATTCTTCTCCTCCTCTCGAATAGCTGGCTTTTGTTTCGGGACGGGGCACTCCACTTTCTCGGTGAAAGCAAAGTGATGGTGGTGACAGGACAAAAGGGTGACCCTTCTAATAAGGGAACTTATTACGGAGGCCAATCTTCCCTCATGTAACGAGGGACTCGTTTGGAACTGGATTCGTTCCGAGAGTGAAAGTGAAAGTATTTAGGTGTGTGTGTGTCTAGTAATCAGAGATGGAGGAGAGGTCCGATTGGATGATTCGGTATCAGCCGTACATACGTGGTGGTGTTGAGATATTGACCCAGACTGCTCAGAGGGCACCTTTCATTCCATTCCAACCCGATTGGAACAAAAGGGCTGATGGAAGGAGGAAGGCTGTTTGGTGGTTTTGGTGAAAGCAGGTCGTCGTCGTTCCTTCCTTGCCACCGTCGTGAGAATGCTTTCTGCCCTGTCTTCTGGGTGTCAGGAGGGGCTAAGCAGCCGCTAAGCTGGCCCAGCCACAATCATATCAACAGAACAGCAGCGGGGAATAAGGTATGTCCATTACTGATGATTTATTCTCCTCATTCCTCCTCCTCCGGAGCCCTGCACACACATCCACGGCCGCAGTATGACTGATCGGGTCCCATATCGGAGGACCGTGTGTGCGTGCTGGCATGTAAGTCTTTGGACTGGATCTATTTGGAATTCAACCTACTCCCTCCGCGTCATTACTCGCCAGCAGAGTCACCGAGGGACAATATGCTGCCGTAATTGTAACAACCACACACACACACACACACCGGAGGAGGCTCAGTGACACTGTGGGTATACATATTATGCATTATAATAATGATAGTCGGTCGGTGTCTCATATCCGGCGGCGGTACAGGCGGATGATGGTAAGTCGGGGTTATCAAGCAGCTCAACTTTCTCCTGAACACATACACACTGGATAAATTAGTTATTCCCCTTTTGCGCGTGGTTTCCAATTCATCTCATTATAAAACCTGGTAGAAGGCTCGTCCAAACCACTATCACCACCAGTGGCGACGGAAGGAGGGGGACAGGGGGACATTTTCTTTAGAGAAAGTAGGCAAAATCGTATCTTGTCCATGTTAATAAGCCTCTAATCCCACAATGTTAATGTCCCCACGTGGAAATCGTATCTCGCCCATGCTAATAAGCTTCCCCCTATAATGCTAACGTCCCCATATGTCCCCCACCTTCCGCCGTCACTGTCAGCACCACCACTGTCATCCTACCATCATCGTCACCAGAAGAAGGAAGCTCTCCTGTTTGCCTGGGAGTTGGAGGAGTTTATGTCGCCATGCAATATTCATGACGGAGTTAAATCGATGTAGGCCCCCTGTCGCGGCGCTGCTGCTCCCTTGATAAGTTGTAAACATTGTTAAATAAGGTAATCCGGATGCTACATACGAGAAACGAGGAAGAGACGGATATAGGAAGAGGAAGACGACGATGCAGGCACGCGTCCCTGAGGGGGCCTACATCCCTCCTGCACACGACATAATTGAAGGTAACAACATGTTCCATAAAGAGACGAGTGTCGAGTGGCTTGAGCGAGAGTGGGATTCAGCGAGAGATTTGTGGCAGCAGGAGAAAGCACCAATCCACTCTTTGCTATCTATGAATCTTCGATCTTCCCCGGCCCACAAAAGGTCAGGAAGGGTCATGTCTACAACATATCTTCCGTGTCGGGGTGGAGGAAAGTGGAAAATACTTTGGTGATGGTATTTTTTTGAAACATTGGAGCTTTTCTAGCGGTTGCTCTCCGAGTTTGGGCAAAGTTGTGTCAATCGGGGGCAAATTTAATTAGGGTGGAATTTGCAAATGGCACTATCCCCTGGCACGTTTGGCGAAGATATTTGCATCCGGAGAAGAGAAAACGTGTCCTAAAGTCGAGAATTCTTACACTTTCCAAATTTACTGCGCGTTTTCTCTTTTTAGGATGCAAATATCTCGCCCAAACTTGCCCATTTTGAGATCGTGTCTTTCGCAAATTTCATCTTAATTAAATTTGCCCTCGATTGAGACTAGTTTGCCAAAAATCGGAGATCATCCCCTCGAACCCCTCCATTGTAAGTATGTAACCCCTTCGAGGTGATGATTGCCTTTTCCGTGTTGTGGTGCAAAATTCTTTCCCATTTTATTGAAAAAGAGGCACAAAAAATCGACAACTCACCTGCTCCACCCAAAGATTAGTCGTCATGATCTGGTTTTTGAGATTCTGTAAACACAAAGACACCACATCATAATGTATACAATCATCAACCTTTTGTAACCAGCAGCCTCCTTCTCCCGACATGACACATGCCGAGAGATAAAGTAGTACAGCGAGAGCAAATATAAATGAAGGAGGGCATCATCCATCAGTCAGTCAGCGTGGCGGTGGTGGTGGTGGTGAAGAGCTACATACACGCTGCTATCTATCTTTAGCTCTGCATGCGGGGTGAAAACCACTCTTCATTGACAGAACAAATTGGATCCTTACATTTTATAGGGGAAAATCAGGAATCACAGAAATTGAGTTACACAAACTTGCACGAAACCTGTGTACCCATCAAACACTGAGAGAAAGCGACAGAGACCACTACACACTCTGGGCTTCCTCTCTCTCCCATTAAAATGTAAGAAATGGGTTGAAAGCAACCGAGGAATGCGAGGTGAAAGCAGGCAAGTTTGTCCTAGGAGCAGCAGCAAAAAGTGGGAGAAAGCAGCAGTGAAAATTCGCCTCTCTTTTTTTCCCTCTATGTATATAGCCCACATCCTTATTTCTTATGTGCCCACACACACACACACGTGATGGATATGTGTACAGCAACCTTGGAGGACAAGATTGATCATTTTTTCGTACACTAAACCACCCTCTCGTTGAGAGAGAGAGGGAACGATAAAATAGCTCTTTCTGGCTGGCTTGCTGGTGGTGCTCCTCCTGTCTCAAAGAGAAAGTAGTGACTCTTGGCTGCCTCACATACTTATGGATGTGCATAGCTTCCTATTGGGGACAACTTTCTCTCTACCACTTGCCAATACCAGCTTCCGGCGGCTATATAATCAATACGTGTGGGGGGAGGGGGGAAAGCGAGAGACGGATACGATTTATTTTGGACATCATCAAGCAACAATGGATGATTTCGTCATGCCAATTTCTACTTGGTTGTTGTGGTGTGTCTTCAATTGCGGCGTGATTGCACCATGGAACGCCACGACTTCATCAAAACACCTTCATACTCAGACTCATTTCCGCCGCAATCTCTCCCCGGCCAGATTTCTGGACCACTTTCTTCTGGAGGAAAATTAGATTGATGTCAAACCCGTATTTACAACTGGCTGGCACACAAACCACGACATAACTTTCACCCAAAACAGCAACCACTACTGAGACTTTCTCCCCAATTTCCTTCGTCTTCTTGATAAGTACGTTCGTACATACCTTCTCTTCTCACCACAAACAACCCTGCGAACGACATGTGTCCATTGCAAACCACCGGCGGTGGGAGTAAGTAGTACATCTACATATAAAGTTGGTTATGGGTAAAAAGTGAAAGGCAACAACCCACATTTACTAGTTTTTTTCTTTGAAAAAACTTTTAACTTTCATTTGCAGAGACGCTGTCGCTTGTCTCCATATTTTCCTGGCAATAAATTTATTTGCTACTTGAACTTCTCCTGAGCGATGATGTAATGCAATGCTGGCGGGTGGTTGGTTTGGTTAGTCTATGATCTTTCTCTCTTCACCTGAGAAGAAGTGAACCGAACTTTGGCATTTATTACATTATTTTTCAACCAACCACAACGAGTCGGATTGGATTAACGTGATGGGAATAGCTTTCTCCAGCTGCACATATTACGAAGCACATGACCGCAACAAGCTGCTCTATTCGCAGACATGGATACCTACTTATCGGTCGGTATCTGCTGCGAGTTATGTAACTATTTGGTTATCGGAGACAGAGACGTATTAGGAGGAAATCTAATGTGGGGATTTGATTTTAAAATGAAATTCCTTCACTCTTACAAGCAGCTGTCTGTTTTGTGGTTCTCGTGTGAAAGAGCGGACTGTTTGTTGCCACCAAATTGCAAATTGTTGCCAAGCAAGCAAGCTTTCTATTCTTCTAAAAGTGGTGCGTTTGTCGAGGAGGAGCAAGGATTTGGAGGAAATGGCCCCATTAGTCTTTACCTTGCCTGGTGGAGAAAGTTGTTCTTTTCTCTCTCCCCAGTTATTTTTTGGCCAAGAAGATCTTGCCCTTTCGGCTTCGAGAGAGAAAGAGAAAGCGGCGAAAAAGAGAGAAAGAAAGCGACGACACACTTTTTATTTTTACATAAAAAGATTCAGGATGAGGAGTCGACTTGCAAATATTATTCCTTCTTCTTCGTCTGTCTACCCAGTGAAATATGACGGGGAGAAAGGAGAAGAAGAATGCTACATGAAATGGAGAATAAAGTTGTGAGGAGAAGAAGGGGACCAAAAATACGATTGGTAGGTGTGGTTGGTTGGTTTTTGGTAGTGATACTTTCTCCTCGTGTGGTCTCGAAGGAGCTGAGACAATTTTACAACGCGCCCCTCCACACAAAACATGGCAATAAAACGTAAAGTTGGCTTCCTTATTAAACTCTCGTGTCTGCTTGATACTGGAGAAAGCGTGTTTTTTCCTCGTCAAATATTGGGAAGTAAGCAGCAGCAGCAGAAATCCACTCAGTGGTTCGTGTGAGTGGTTTGTGGTGGAGAAATAAAAGTGAAAGCAGAGCCAAGCAGAAAAAAAAATAATTTTAAGATACCAGAGTACTTACCACATCGATAAGTTGCGACAGTCGTAATTTGATCCTCACTTTAAGAATGTCCGACGTATTCACTACAGGTCTCACTAATTTATTATAGTTCGACAGTAAATCATCATAGAGACGTTTCGCGTCCGGATTTCCGCAATAGACTAGCGGAACTCCGGCCAAAGTGACAAAAATGAACCATTGGACGAACATATCGCGGCAGAATGGGGGCGACGACGACGACAACACTACACAAACACTGCACGGCGACCCTTCTTCTTCTTCTCATCCAGCCACGGCGCGTGGGGGATAAGTGCTGATAAGCATGTTTGCCAATGGTTTATGGGATACGACGCCGAGGAGGCTGACAGGAGAAAGCTGACGACATGAGTGACGGTACATGGAGGATGATGAGCGTCCAACTCTCAGCACTTTGTCCCACTCGGCTCAAGTTGACTTTCCCCACTGGATCCTGATGTCTCGTCTCGTCTCGTCGTGGGGTAAACAAGCCAGAAGAGAGAGAGACCTGCTCTCACCTGATGCTCCCGCACGGCTGCATGCACAACCACACCACTTTCTCTCCCTGGGTGTATAAAGTATTAACAAAAAGCAGATTGGCGAAGTGGAGTGAGAAGATTATGAAAATTTGAACCGACTCAGTCACTCAGCGGAGAATGGAACTCTCAACGCGAGAGAGAGGAGCAATAGCGCAGCAATGAACCCAATTTCAGGACTGAGAAAGTGCACAGAGTGAAATCTTTTCACCGTCTGCATGCCTTTGTTCACGAGGGGAAAGACAAAACTGGGATCGATCTCTCCCTCCACCGGACTGCCTTCGCCTCTCGCTTTCTCTCTGTGTATGTGTTGGTTGTCTGTGCTGTGTGCACTTTCTCCTCGCTAAAAGTGAAAGTGACTGTGGTACTAGTGCTGGAACTGGATGGTGGAAGTGGAAGGAAGGAAGGAATAGTACTGCTCCTCGCCTCCTCTTTTGCTGAATACTGTGAGAGAGAAAGCGAACGAGCGAGAGAGAAGAGAGAAAGCTGCGTGCTTTCCGCGAGTGCAGACGAAGAAATGGCGAGAGAAAGTTGGCTCCCGGCCCGTTCCTGCTCTCTCTGAGATGGTCCCACTTTCTCCCTGCTTTCTCTCTCCCTCCCTTGCGAGACACAGGCCAGGCCAGGGAAAGGAAAGAAGTCGTGGTGGTGGTGATGGTAGTGAGCCTTCGTCTTCTTCACCTACTTTCACTCGAAAAGAGAAGAGTATGACAAGGACGACGGAGGGCGAGGGACTTGGCCAAACGAAGTAAAATCCCTGCCATTCGTGACAATCAAACCGGAGGGCATTCATCAAAACACTTTTGCCCTGAGACGATTCCAGAGTTGAGTATATGTAGCAATTCCAAGTTCCGGTGGGTCACTGGGAGTAGCATTATAGTGATACGAGTGAGTCGCCTTTCTCCCTCCTTTTGGACATGATGTTGTCTTTATTCAATTCACTAGAATTCGTTGATGGTGGCGGGGTCATAAAGACGGAATGGATGGTAAATCAGCGGCAACATCCCCAGTATTTTTTGTGTACGACTACTACTACCTCCTCGTCAAGCAGACGACATAATGCCCCGTAGCCCCGCTGATCTCTGCTTGGCTGGCAGTTTGTAATGAGATCTTCATGTGATGGAAATCTGTCACTTGAGGGGAATCTGGGTGAAAATATGAGCAGAATATATTTCCACGAGACGTAGGAAACGCACTCTCTCTTACTTTTCACATTTGTTCTTTTATCAGTTGGGGAATTCCTGGTGTGTGCCTGCTTTCTCTTCTTCTGTATCCATCTGTCTCTCTCTTTCTGAGTAGTTGGAGCGGTTTCGAGTTAAAATTTTGATGACATTTTTCAGCCTATTCAAATTCAAATCAGACTGTTCATTACGCCTTCTCAAAGAGAAACCTGCCAGTGTGATGTGAATGATTCATTTCTAATGGAAGGAGGAGGAGGAGGAGAGAGTTAAATGACAATAAAATGAGTTTCTTTCCCACAACTACGACGAAGCTTCTGCGGTGGGCTTAACATGTCCTGATTTCAACGTGTCAAGTTTAATTGGCAGTGGTAGTAAAATTTCCGTCTCCTCTTTTCCTGGCAGGTATTGAATTGATGTGCAGAATTTCTTGAAAACTTTTCAAACGAGATGATCCTCCTCCTTGCGGGGACAAATTTGGCTTTTTCTTTTCGAATGATATTTCAATTAGCACGTGCGTTTGGTTGGTTGGTGGAAATATTTGCGGGACGATAAGTTTGCTGATTTTCTCACCTGAATGGCCACGCTCACTCGAGCATTATTCTCTTTCTAGGAGAAAGAGAAAGGCATCTGCTTGGTTTGAATAAACCAGAACATTTCACTCTCTGTCATCTCTGTAGTTGAAGTCAAGAGAAGTGTAAAGTTGTTCTCGATCGTGTCTCTTTCTCTGTCGAAATAAGATATTCATCGTGGTTGTTCAGATTCAGAAATAGAATATTTCATGGTATGAATTTGTCCCTGGTTCAATCATCCCGGTAATAATTAGTATGATCCTCGGCTGACCTTTGATGGATGTGGATTGAATAAGTAATAACATTTGGAATGTATTTATTTGCGGTGGGGATAAATATTTGTCAATTTTGTTTATCTAGATTTTAGTCATGGATGGAGGACAAAGCGGAAAAGCAGTGAGGCTCTTGTCAAACCCGCCCGGGTGTAATTGCACAAAGTAAAATTTGAATTGCTTTCACCACGAAAATGTGTTCCCCTTTGTGTCCCTAATTCGGGGCGAGGTAATGAAATTAAAGAAGCTTTTGTCCAGGGCGGGTTTTCAGGGTTTTGTGGGGAGGATATATACTGGGTTAAAAATGGGGTAAATTTTTCGGAGGGATTGGATTTTGATGAGAGAAAGTTGGTATTTCTTTTAAATATGTTCGTAGTTATGAATACCCGTTAAAAAATGAGCGAAATTTGGAAGAATTGAATTTTGAGGAGAGAAAGTCATAATTTCTCTCAAATATGTTCGTAATTATGAAGACCCCTTAAAAAATGAGACAAATTTGAAGACCTGAATTTTGACGAAAGAAAGTCATCATTTCTCCCAAATACGTTCCTAATTATGAATACCCTTTCAAAAATCTGATAAATTCTGAACAATTGAATCCCGACGAGAGAAAGTCGTCATTCCTCTCTCAAATAAGTCACCTCTTCTCTTCCCTCAAGTAAATATTGCTCGAGTAAGCAAAACCACCCGGAATAAATGAACGTGTTGTTTGTCGGGCCTGTCACTCATTCACTTTGTGTGTGTGTGTGCTGGCAAATAATGATATATTCTCTGCTCCGCCACCACCACCACCACTTTCTCTCCACGGGGTTGGTTGAGATTAACTTTGTTGAGACGAGGAGAAGAATGTTTATTTTCTCAGCAAGCGAAATTAACTTTCTCTCGCCATAATTTCCCACAACTTGCACGCCCGCCTCCCTTTCTTCTCACCGAAGAAGGAGAAGAAGCGCGCTTTGCCACTTTCTCTCCTCTGCGAGGGAATTAGGGAGTCGGGGTCCTCCTCCTCTTGGCCATATCAGGCTGCAAACAAACAATGGAGTTTCCATTAGTCAATGTGATTCTGGCCGTGAACTCGACTTTATTTCTAAATTCTTATCTTCATCTGCTTCCTCAGTCAGTAGCGTATCCAGTGACCGCGGAAGCTGGGGGGACATGGGGGGACCACCAGGGGGAGGGACGGGTTTATAAGATGAGGGACATTGAGCGACAGTGGGGACAGGGGGACAATGTCCGCGGCGACTGGGTGGTGGTGGTGGGTGGGAGAGGAGAGATATGGATTGTGCATATTTCTCGGCTCACTTTAATCCCTTCTTTTCCCTCACGTCATGCACGGAGCGAGGAGGAGACTCATTAAGCCCAAAAAGTAACAAAAGCCTCTTTGCATTCATTTGTCAAGATGGAGTTAATGGAAGAGGTGGTGGTGGAGAACGAATTAAGGATTTTATAATGCCCGCCCTCATTTTCAGGGGACGGTTATTACATACATACGTGGGTATGTACACTCTTAGAAAGGTGGGGGTAAATTATTACTGACCATATAGTACTACCGGAACGGTAATAAGAGGCATTACCGTTTAGAAATGTGGTGGTAGTAAAAAAAATTACCAAACTACTACCAATCCGGTAGGAAGTTATTACCAAATCAGTACCAGCACGAATTTTGAATATGACTCGACCAGATTTTTAAAAGTATATCCAGCTATTGGCCGCGGAACCTTGAGGGGACAGAGTGACAATGTCCCCACCCTTATTCGAAGTCCCCATCTTATATAAACCCATCCATCCCCCATCCTACAATGTTAGCGTCCCCACATGTCCCCGCGGCCACTGCACACAACAAACCTACGAGGATATATATAACTTCACTCCAAGTATGCATACATGTCAGACTCGCTGACATAATACCTTTATTACAAAGGAGTAAAAGTGAGAGAGAGAGAGAAAGCATTAAATTGCGGTGAGGTCAACCCAATTTTCGGTCGGTGAAAACCTCAACATGAAGTTTTTGGTCAAGTTTTCAACAGTACTTTCTCCACCAGCGATGTCTTGACTTTAATGCGTAATGGGTGTGGTGGTGGTGGTCGTAGATGTGCCTTCTTCTTTTCCAGAGGAAGGACTTAATTGGCCCTGTAAATTAAAGTTGAAATTTAGCGAAATGTTAGTATTGTCACGAAACAAGTAATTTGGCAAATGTTCGTCTTTCTCTCCTTTGTTCGGCTCAAATCGCACGCATTATTCATTTCATAAAGGAAACGGAAATGTGAATTTTGTTGCCGGGTTTAAACTTAGAAAGGTCACATTTATTTAGTCGTCTCACTCTCAACATCACGTTCGTTCGTGATTGAGTTCTCTCTCTCTCTTTTGCTCTTAATCAATCAAAATTACTCAGCGGGGTGATTTTGGTTTCGAATTGTAAAGAAGAGGTTCGGAAGCACTAATTGGATTTCATTTCAAGATAGAGAACCAAAGATGATGGTGAGTTCAGCCAAGCCTAAAATTCAGTTTATGACATTAATTCGCTTACAGGGAGATTATATTGTGGCTCTTGGCACACGGAGGAGGACGACCAGTGGCCGCGCAAGGAAGGGGGGGACGGGGGACAATGTCGTCACAATCATGGGGGCATCATATGCCCATCCTATATAAACCCGGGTCTCCACGGTCCAACAATATTAATGTCCCCACGGCTTCCGCGGCCACTGGTTATTAGTTTGCCTACGTATTCAGTGGCCGCGGAAGCGTGGGGACAGAGGGATAATACCCCCACAGTTATTTGACGTCCCCATCATCTACCCATGTCATATAAACCCTTCCCCATATCCTACAATGTTAATGCCCCCGATGTCCCCACCTTTTCCGCGGCCACTGCCTCTCCGACGACTGTCTTCTCCTCCACCTCCTCCCCACTTTCTTATTTACTCACTCATCCACCACCGATATCGCAAAATGGATAGCACCACCAGGAAACAGCCAAATAGCTTTACACAAATTGAATCAACCGGCTGCAACACCACCACTTTTGATTCCGCTCAGCTCAACCCTCACTCCCTGGAATTTTGCCGGGTTTATTTAATGGTAACACTACTTCCCCCCTTGGAAAACTACTTGCCGTGAAATGGGCCACATTAAAATAAATGGAAAGAAATCATCGATTTGACATCTGTGGTAAACATTCCACCGGAGGAGCTCTGTTGTGTTGGGGAGGGAAAGCTGAACGGGTTGCAGGGAGGACGGGTGGCGTTTTATTCTTCTTAGCGTCAATTAGTGGGATTATTCCCATCCTTGTCGTTGTCTTGAGAGTGGGAGAGAGAGAAAGTGTGCCAGCCTCCGGGTGAAGAAAGCAGGGGCCGCGGAAGGGTGAGGGGACCAAGGGAAAGGTTGTTCGATGTGTGCATTATCTCCCCATCTTATATAAACCCGTGCCTCCTCCCCTATTTTATAGTGTTAACGTCTTCAGATGTCCCCACGCTTCATAGGCCACTGTTTGGACACAAATG